CGATAGCACTGATTCCGAATATAATAGTCGGAGCTGCTCTTAGGCCTATTGAGAGCCGCGTTTTGGTAAAGCGGTTTTCCGAAAGCAAAATGTTTTTTTCTTGAAAATAATTTCTGATCTTTCCAGATTGTAGAGCATGTCGAGTTACTTAAGCAAATAAATTTTTAGACCATCGGACATGTCCTAAGAACGCTATTAATTCCAATTATTTATTTTCCAAAAAGCGGCTCTCCATAGGCCTAAGAGCAGCTCCGACTATTATATTCGGAATCAGTGCTATCGATTTTAATCGTATGGTTTTCATTGAGAAAGCGCTTTATCACCCGCGAACTGTCCTTCGGTAGAGCTTGACAAAAGTGAGGTCGTTAAAGACCAGGTTTTTACGTGATGTAAACTCACGTAAAACTGTCAAGAATAAAATCGCAGCCATCACACTGTTTTGTTGCAAGAAAAACAAAATGTCATGTATCACAGTTGAAATGTGACTATGTGTATTATTTGCAATCTGTCATCGAAAACACTTCGTTTTAATGCAATAATTTCAAAATTATGTCAGTATTTTCGATAATGTATCCAAATTTGAAATAGGCTCTCCTTCACAATGTCTGCAATACTTAATCGATCGCAATTAAGATCGGCAGGAAAAAAAATCTAAGTTTCGCCGTCTGTTCTGTATATAGAAAACTGAAAGAAAATAAATGTTATTGTTGTTCTATTTCTGTTTTGGTAAGGAAAAAAATAAAAAGAACTCTCTGCAGAGCAAGACTAATTCTTTTATATACCTCTCTGTAAACGAAGGATGGTTTGCATAAAAAAAAGAAAAATATGTTTATAACACATGTGCATCAAATATATAACACTGCGAAGAAACAAAAAAGATTTATCGTTTTCAATAAATTGCAGGAGGAGCAAGACATATGTATTTCTTTCCTTGTTACTTATTTATTAGAAATATGATTTATTGAAAACAAAGCAAGTACGGGCTACGTTGACCTCGCTTATTCTCCAGTACAAAAAAAGGTTCTTACATGTTACTAGTTTCCTGTTCGCAGTCTTTTAGCAGAGGAGAAGTGACATAACACAGCGGGGAATTTTGGCTAGGCACGTGGACATGTGCTAGAAAAGCGGTATGAAAGTCTCTAAACATTGTTTTTATAGGTTTTCATATACGCTCTTTTCAACGACGCAATCGTCAAGCTTTCAAAGTAGGGCAAATCTATGTTGTTCCCCACTGTGCATAAGAAGTTTTTACGTAAGTGCTACAGGAGAGCTGGTCTGCAGAGCCAGCTGCAGGGTTTCTTCTGGTCTCACGTTTTTCTTTTTCTCTCGTCGATTATTACACACATTTTGATGTCAATATTTTTTGTATTTGTTACGTAGAGAGAAAAATCGATTTGATTTTTCATCATGTTGTCAATTATGTTTCTGCTTCACAGCCATTAAAATAATAATAAATCAAATGGCAATTAGTGTGTTATAGAAAAATAAATGAAAGAAAACAAAAAAATACACACTTTTTCCGCTGAGAAGAGTAGCATTCGGGTTTCTGTCTTTATTTTTGCAAGAGGTAAGTGTAACTGAAGGTGTAGTCGCACTGTCTGTTTGTAAGAGCACTGTTTCTCTCCATCTCACAGAATTTCAGGCTTAATTTTCTGAATCCGTCGATGACTCTGTTTCACTTTTAGATATTTATTAGAGAAATTTGAAATGTCCTGGGTAGCTGAACAAAGTGACGATGGTTCATCTGCTGTACAAGTACAAGGTAATACCGTTAGCTGTCAGAAAGAAGGCTACTTTGGTAGTCCAATTAATGTCATGTACAACGATCCAGCTGAGAAGAATGGTCAGTACTACTGGCAAATTGAATTACCAGAATTAACTAATGAAGGTGGAGCGAGTGTTGGCTTAACTACACAGGAACATTTTAAAGCTGGCTATGCCGTTAAATCTATGGAGTATTGTGGTGAGTGACAGTTTCAGAAGAAATATTAGACAACAAATAGATAGTTCGAGGTTTAGTCTAGCTCTAGTCTTTTTGAAAGATAAAATGAAATGAAAATAATCGGAGCTGGGCAATTCCATCTTCGGAGATGAAGTTAACTCCGGAGTTAGGCGATTTTGAAGTAAAGTTGGCTTTGGAATTTTTGAGAACAAAGTTGTCTTTTATTCATTCTTATTCTCAACTCCCTGTAATTGTTTCTGTTACGCTTTCTTTTCTTCAAAAAAGAGCGACGCATACATAGGACTACCCATGGGGAAATTTTATCGACTTTTCACACGTGAGGGACCGTGAAATGTCACCTTGGACTTTCACGAAATTTTGTAGGTAAAGACAGGAAGTTTCACGGCAGTTTTGTCGTGCTGTTGCATCATCACACGCGTGGCTACGCGTGAAAAATCTTCACACGTGTACACAAGTGAACAATCTTCACGCGTGATTAC